AATGATGACACCTAATCAATTAATGATGGGTTTTAAAAGTGTGAGGGGAAATAGAAATCCTTAATCTCCCTTTTTAATCACGTAGAAAAAAACTGACATAATTCCTGGAATAGTTATATTCCAGGAATTTGGTGTATCCCCTTTAAGAGTAGTGCTTCATTGATCCGGCCCGGGACGTCACTAAGATAGAAGAGCTGGAGGTTCAGCCCCCATGGCAGTCAGGATATACTGGCATGCATCTATAAATAAGCTTACTACTAGTATTCACCTGTTGTTCTCTTAAATCTCCTAACAGAATGTGAGCTGTGTTCAAAATCCCAAACTTGAAAGTAGTCAGAGGATATGTTTTTCCAACTTGAAACAAAATAATTTTGTTGTGAATTTTTTTCAGGTACACGCAATATTTTAACAAAACAAAGTAGTCCCTAATTTATTTATGTGCCTTAATGAAAAACCTTCTAAGGAAATGCTTTCTGTTTTGTTGGTCTAGAAATGATTACTTTTCATTTATCCCAGCAACTTCATTCACTCAAGTTTAATCAATGGATGTGCCAGTAGAAAGTATTGGACACACACAGAATAAGAGCTAGTCCAATTTTTGTTTGTCGTTCTGCTCTGAAGGTGGATTTGAAATTATCTGTAAACTGCTGCCTTACAAGAAAAGGCAAAGTCTTTAGTTCAGTGTGTTGGAGCACAATTTCTCAGTGAGATCTCTGGAAGTCTTGGTGAGAGGATAATGACTCTCTCATCAGAAAGTAGTCCTTAAACGCAGCCATCAATCTATTGTTAAGGAAGAGTCCTGCAATTAGAGAGTCAGACAGGAACAAATTGCTTCTGATATTTGCCTTCTCCTCAGGCTCTCAGTGATCCACAAGTCAAAACTGTCCCCTCTCCTACAAATCACAGTCTAATTGATTGGAACTGAATGATTTTATTGAGTTGCTTCCAGGTTTAGCAGCATCATGTTTAAACCAAAGTCTTCCTGTCCAACTGATGTCAATCTCATAAGTCGATGTCATCCTCAATAGACCGAAGCAAAAGTCTCATTTCTTAGACGGAGAAAAGCCGAAGTGGAGAAATATCTTTAGGAAAAGAGACACTTGTAGTTTAACCTTTTAGCCCTGAGAACTTTTTCCAAACTGTTTAATATAATCTCAAGACGTGTTGATGATGAAACACGTTTCCTACGGAGTCTGGAACTTCAAAATCAGCATCTGTTGTAGAATGGAAGAAAGACAAAAGAGATTGGAAACGTGTATTCTCGTATTTTATTTCCAAACCCATTTTGTCATCCATCCATCCATCCATCCATCCATCCATCCATCCATCCATCCATCCATCCATCCATCCATCCACCCACCCACCCACCCATCCATCATCCATCCATCCATCCATCCCCCATCCATCCATCCATCCACCCACCACCCATCCACCATCCATCCATCCATCCATCCATCATCCCATGTCTTACATTTTCTGTTTTTTCCAGGTTCCATATTTAAACCCTGAATAATGCAGAAACATTCCCCATATAATCATATTGCACTTCTCTAATCATCTTGAAAATCTTTAATAAAAGTGTGTAACTATAACTTGTAATATATATTGGATATTGACATACAAAAAGTAAACTGCCAGAAAGTATTGATATCAATAAGTTATTACATATGGTGAAAATTTTTATTATTCTAAATCTAGTTTCCAGTTTTGTTTTTCTTTTTCTTTTGAGAAGTCAACTTAAAGATCAGTTTTCAGTTTTATTTTTAATTGTTTTCTTTTTCATTCTAAAATCCTTTATTTCTGTAATAAAGGACATGATTAGGGTTTTGTCATCAACTGATTTGTCATCTGGTGCTCAGACTTTTTTCTTGGTTTTTTTGTGACCTTCTGATAACTTGGAGTATTTTTGGTTGGCCATTTTCTTCTGGGAAGTTCCTTCTTATATTATTTTTCCATTTGTCGATAATGGTTCTTACTCTGGAGTCCCAAAGCCTCAGAAATAGATTTGTAATGCTTTCAGGACTGACAGGTGTGTTAAAACTTTGCTTGAATTTGTTCAGATAAGGCGATGAGTTTTCCTGAACCGTTTCACTGAAATCCTCATCTGAAAAATGTTTGATATCAAAATGTGATTGAATGTGTCCTGCTGAGCTAACACCAGATATTTATTTACACAATCCTTTTTTTCCCCCATGAGCATGATCCCAGTTACCAAACTAGCACTGTTATAACTCTTCCCCTGCAGCAGATAAGAGAATGTCCCAGCCACTTTATCAGACAAGACAGATGAGCTGAGGTTGCTGTCCATAGCCCTCACCTTCATTCCACCCACTTCTTGTCACTCGACTCACACAGATGATGAACGGTCCCTGTCTGTGTTTTCATTAGATGAGAGTTTAAGCACCTTTAGTGATTTATAAGGTTCAAAGTTCCCTATAGGTGAATTATCATATGCTTTAATGAGATTTTAAGCATAAAGAAGGGGGGTTGTTGTTTTCTTGGTATCTCAACTGATTAAAACGAGCAACAATTATGAAACTAACTACTCTGGTACAGTGCAAGAGACCTTAATTTGATTTGATAATCCTTAATGTGGGTTTGCTCAAGAAGCAGTTTTTGTGGGGCTCATGATGACTGAAAACAAAACAAATAACACGTACACAAGTTTTAGTATGTTCCCTGAAGTCATTCAAGACATGTAGCATAATTTATCATCAAGTCATCATCTCAGAAACAGAGAGAAGCTCCTCTTGTTGTCTCTGCTGAACGTCTCGCTCATTACATCAACTTATTCCTTGAGGGACAGAGAACTCGGTTTGTACGTCGTCTTTTTTTCCCTTGTTTGTCTTTTTCTATAGCTGACACTTTCATCTCAGCTGTCAATGTGGTTTGACAGCCTTTGTAAATATTTATTATATCTTCCGTGATGGATGCAAAGCCACTGGTGTCATTGTTGCTTCAAAGGATGGATAGAGGTTGTCTGGTGGATAGAGAAGAAAGAAAGGACCACTTGAGAACAACAGTGATGCTGTGCAACAAAGAAAAGAAGACTCTTTCAAGCAACCTTCCCCTTCAACTTTTTGCTCCTACTGGCCTGTATTTCTTCTTTATTTTTCTTTCTTTGTTCTTGCTTAGTGATTTATTTTGCAGAGTGTATTTTTAAGTTGTGCTGGTACTTACTGGTTGCAATTTTTGGCAAACTTTAGGAGAATGATGTAAAGGCTCCCCTCGTAATTTATTTACATAAGCATAAATCAATAAATGTAAATAGTGTAAAACTAAATCTGTCAAACCATAAACAAAACAACATGGATTTTACTGCTAATCTCATACAAAATGCTCCTCCATTTTGGATCAAATTATCATAAATGTATGCGATAACATTTTCAGGTAGATGCACCAAGTTCCCCTCAATATGCTGCCAAATTTCAGTAAACACAAGTTATGCTATGTTTCATATCAGTGTCATAACTGCATTTGAACATCAGCACCAATATTGATTTATTCAGTGGGACCAGGAGGAAAGTAATTGAAAACATCAATTTGGAGCTGTGGTATTAAAGAAGATAAAGAAAAATATCCTGTTTGTAGCTCAAACAACAGACAGGCTTTTTTCATTAAGCTTTCTGTTTGTTTAAAGTGTTTTTTTTTTCCCAGAAGAGGAATAACTTTCATATCAGACTCAAACATCAGTTTTATCTCTTCATTCATTGCAGAAAAACATGCCACTGAGAAATCTGAATGAACTACGTACTGAAATATATCACAATTTACTGACACTTTAATAAAATCCCACCATGACGCCTGGGGCTGTTTGAATTGACATCATGTAGTTCTGCTACATCTGGTTTTCCTCCAGCTAAAGAAGACAGACAAATATTTAAAATCTGATGCACGTCTAAACTCCTCGAAACAAGACTTTTCACGAAAACACAAAGAGGGAGAGCAAATTGTACTTCTAGATGTTGCATATGTGAAACTAACGGCAAAAAACAGTCTTTTTTTAACTCTGTCGGCTTTATGACACACGCATAACAATTCATGTTCAAGTGTTTTTTTTAATGTTCAGGAATATGAAGACTAAAAAAACGGCAAACCTTTTCCTCACAAAGAGCAGAACAGTATTATGTTTTCAGGCTTGATGTAAACTTTGCAATTACGTCTTTTTACTTTTTTATTTTCTTCATTTTATTGCCTTTAATTTTATCATGAAATTATTACTTATTTAAACAAAATCTATGTGATAATTTTGGGAAAGCTTGGTTTTATGTGACGTCACGGCTGTTATGGAGGACGGTGAGGTTCTCACAGAGTTTCGGTTGATTTACGGTTTAAAAGTTGCTGCAGAGAAGAAAACGTTTTACACTCTTTTAGCTAAGATGTTTGCAAGATGTTTGTTGTTGTTTGCAAATAGTTAAGTGAAGAATGGAATGATTTTGTCATGTTTCAGGCCATACAGTAAACAAGCTGACTGGTATACCGCGCTGTGTTGCAATGGGTTTTTTTTTTTTTTGTGGTTTAGTTGTGATGGGCAGGTGAACTGAGGCTGTCTGGGTGTTTTTCAGGCTACTAATATCATTCTGCCCAGGTATGCTGACCTTTCTTGTTCATTCTCAAAGTTTTACATGTTTTATTTTTGCAGAAGCAGTTGGACAATATGAGCTTAAGTTTCTGTAAAGATGGTGGAGGTGCTCCCTTTCTCTTAAAAGCATGCTGTGGAGTCTCTTAAATGTGACACTGGCAGGTTTGTTTGATTTATATCCCACCTCATCTTCAAGGCGATATGAAAAAAAGCCCCTGGACACCATGTGTATTTCCTGCTGTTGATGTGTCTCATTTCTGTTCTGACCTTCTTGACTCACTGGGATATTGCTTTCTTTGTGATTTATGCCAAAGTTTACATATAATCATGTAAGCACCATTTTATTCAAAGATGTGCTCACTATCTGTTACCCTTTTTGTTTTGCTGGGTATTTGAGGATTTGAAAATTTGCCACGATTTTCTGCTTTCTCAACACAAATCACACTTACACCCCAGTCATGCTAGTTTATATTTTCCCTGCTTTTCAATGGCATACAAGGATACACAGCTTTAAGTCAGCACTGCCCCTTGAAAAGACGAGAGAATCCACAAACAGCATGAGCAAACTGTAATTTGAGATTTAAAAACATTGATGCAAACGGTACATTTTGAATACAAATTTGACATTTTATGTGAACATTACAACATTGGAGCAACCTACAGCGAAGATTCAGTGTACTGACTCCTGTCGATGCACAGGAATAGCGGCTCTACTCTGAAACATCCAAAGGAGCAAGCTGATTTCACCCATGCAAACAAAAATCATTTATATTTGTTATACGTTGTTTGTATAATTTAAAACCGCTTTTACCAATTTCAAAAGAGACACGCAGAATACTGTGGTAATATTATAGAAGGATGTCACCAAACTTAGCATTTGTGATCACCATGGCCCCATACTGTTATGATTACATTAATGCATCACAATAAATATAGCACAGATGTACACACCTTCATAATGTGATTTTGTATAGAAATGCCTGACATGACTGGGACACACAGACACCAGAATGTTATATTGTGTACACATAGAGTATCATTGTGCAGCAACTAACAGTGATTGACATATACCAAATAACATTGAACAAACATGCAACACAAAGTCCAGCAATTACCAACACTCATTCGTTGGACATCATTTGACTTCCGTATTGCTGTTGATTTTTGCTTAACATAGAAATTATGGCTAATTACCAAAGCAACTCTAGTCCACTGCATTTTTGTTACAGTGACTAGACTTAGCAACACAGCGGTCCAACTTTCAGGGAACACTGTGCTAATAGTGAGTGTGACTCAGTTTGGCCCTTAGAATTGCCTTGATTACATTTGCAAGGTATTGTCTACACTCTTCTGAGATTTTGGAATCAGACATGTGGTAGATTTGTCTGCTCAATATCCAAAAGGAGTTGTGACTGCAGAGAACATTGGAATAGAGTGAAAAAACTCTTGTCTAAGAAATGATTTGAGTCTTGTTACCTGGTGGAAGGAGATGCCAGATGTTGGATACAATTAGATCATGAAGGAACGGACATGCTGAGCAATGATAGCAAGGAAGGCTAAAGTGTTTGTACAACACTCAGTTGGTAATAGGTGTCTGTGCATTCTTATGAAGTCCTAAATTTATGCATCTAAAGTTAGGGTTCTTAAAAATCTTAAATTCACAAGCTGGCTTTAGATACCTCTATCGCAAGTCTTAAATTTGGCATGACAGAACTATTTCCTTTTGTAAATAGTCTTTTAAATATCTTTTTTTTTCCGGCGACTTTTCCAACTGGCAGAAGTTGAAGTTGTGTGTCGACATCTTCATTTTGTTCTGTTGCAATCAGTTTGGATTGAGGCTACAGCTAACTAGCTGCTAATACGCCTTTCCTGGTTGACTAGCTAGCTACCTTTTTATGTCTATCCCAAGTGATGGGAGCAACATATGAATGGATGAAACCCAACAATAGCGACAACGTTGAAAATCTTTCATCTTTCTTGTCACCTCTACATTTACGAGAGCAAAATTTCACACGCATGTCATCAGTCGATTGGCTGTAGGAGGGCAAGCAACTCTCCCCTCCTTGTATAAATTCTGTAGGAAATGAAGGTAAGGGAGGAGCGTCGACCTCCATTTGTCGAACCCTTTAAGCGTAAAACTTATTGCTGGTCGGCATCAACAAGCAATATTAGTTGTGGCCCCTGGGTCACTTCTGTTGCCAACCCATACGAGGTAAGGTGCATTCGGTGGAAAAAAAACGTTGCATTGTGAGGAGAAGAAGCACAAAGTTCCTGCAAAGAGCCACAAAAAGACTCCAGAAATGTAAAAAAATTAATAAAAATGCTATGCCTGATTGTAATTCAGCAGGATTCCTGGACCATCCATATTTTTATAGTTTTTTTGGTCTTAAGTTTTATTCAAAGTGGCATTTATGCAATTTTTCTTTCAAAGCGACATTTAAAGTCTTAAATTGAAACTGCTGAAACCTGCAGATACTCTGTGGTACTAAGTATCTGGTATCTGGCCTATTTTCTGGAGCAATGTGTCCAGAAAACAGGCAGGTCTGTTGCAATAGAAGTAAATTTGCATTACATTACTGTGTTAGGTTATTGGTAGTTTTAGTTATTGTGATTTTGGCTACAACAATTGACAGACAGAAAGTGCTTTGCATTTGATTCCTGAAGAACAGCTGGTACCTCAACTTGGCAATTGAATTACAAATCATGCAGTTCCATTAATAAAAGACTTTGGGTACTTACTAATAGCTAGGAATGGCCAAAAATTGACATTATTTTCTAACGCTAAACAGATGAGCAGTTGCCCGTATTAAAGTGGCCAGTAAGTTTTTAGAACTTCTTGTTAGACAAGTCCTGTTCATATGCAGAGTTGATCTCTTGCTAGCAGCTCATTAATACTTTGATTCTGGAACTGCAAAAGGAACAATGGCAGACTTGTGAGACAACTCAACCATACTCAATAAAGATGAAAGCCTTGACCCAAACTAGTCAGTGCAATAAACACTAAAATAAGAAAATAGAAAAACTCCCAATTCAAAGTCTGCTTCGTGCTTTTGACACAAAAAGCTGACTGAAGCTTGCTGCCAATGCAAACCCTGAAAACAGCATAGGAAATCAACATTTTCTGTGCAGACGCTTTCAGGAGTCTTCAAAGGAGAGGGCAAGGACAAGATGAAAGCCTGGATGCACTGTGGTTTTTGAAATACACTGACCAGTCCTTAACTTACTGATGTTGAGATTCTTCAATCCACTGCTACATTGAGATTTAAATACAGGCACTATGAAGTTGAATTGAAGTGCCCTCTGATGTGATTCATAAACAGGAAGTGCGTCAGGGAAAAAGAAGAAGAGAGAGGAGTATTCAGTATTTACAAATGGCCTACTGGGCAAAGGCTGAATATATAATTTACCTCTATTTTCTGCCCCTATTTTAAACAGAATATAACAAACTACTAAAACAGACTAAAGCACAAAACGTTTCCACAGTTCCAGAGAACAATGAAGGTTTTTTTCCAAAAGTGCCCAGTGCCCTCAAAGTATAACCAAGACATTGACTAATTATTTGAACTTCTCTTAGCGTCCACAGAGTTTGTGAAGCACACCGTAGCTGGATGACAGACTGGTAATATTCGCTCTTAGGGAGAAAAATGACACCTAATGGAAGAAGGCTTGCAGTTACAGTGGACACACTTTGTTCTCTGGGATGGGAAGCTGAGCAAAGGAGCCACAGTCAGTTGGAGAGTCATCGGATCGGGGAGACACGGTGCCGCCTACAGGGATGCGGGCTGCGATGGCAGACATTTCCCCTGTGTGACTCTCGGCAGTAATCCCGGGTCGTTCTGTGGTCTGATTCATGTTGCTTTCTGGGATGGTTCCCATGCCGGTAAAATGCTGGATCAGGCATTTCCTGAACTGCAGCAAAAGCAAAAACATATAATATTTAGTTTCAGAAGAATTGTTTTAAATTCTCTGTTTCATGCTTTGTGGACTAAGTACTTTATTACAAATGTAATTGGGTTTGGCGGTTTCTTTAGAGGTACTGATGGATATGAGTAAATCATTTAGCACCACCTGACTCTTACATTTCTTCTTAAATTCTACAGAGAGGAAGAAGGGGTGTCTTTAGTTTTTCACATACAGCATTTAAATTTTCCATAACACTCCCAAGACAAGAAGGGCATTAAATGTCAATTATAGCTGAATCTGTGGTGCTTTACAAGATAACATCTATTTATTTTATTTATTGAGGTATTTAAATTTTTTAGGTTTCAATCACACTTCAATATTTTTAAGTTGGGTTTTATGTGGCACACCAACACCAAGTACCGTAGTTGCTGATTCTACAAATAAAAAAATTTGAGATCATAGTTTTCTTTCGTACTAAGCCCCCTTTACTCTTGCACTCGGAAAGAAAATGTTGAGCAACGAATTTCCTTCAAAATATTCCTGCTTTGTCGAAATGCAAAACAGAGATAAAGGAAGATGGATGGAGCAGAGCTCCTAGAAGAAAACCTGTTTTAGGCTGCAAAACATTTCAGACAAGAACGGAGGTTCATCTTCCAGCCCGACAATTACCTTGTTTTAGCAGGAGCCCCTTTGTCTACCAATATTAGATTGACCTAAATCCAATTTTAGTTCCTGGCAAGAGCTGAAAAGTGATGATCATAGACATTCTTTATCAAATGAGCTATTTTTTGCAAAGTGAATATACTGTATACAGACAAACCCCCAAAACATATTCAGCTGAAATAGAAACTCCCATTGACATAAACTGAAATTTGTGAATATAACATGACAAACTCAACTCAAATCTTTAGCATGTTCAAAATATCTTAACTGTCAGACTGAGGTGATATTGAGAGGTTAAAACCTGTTCGAAAAATCTCGTAAAATTGGTTTTAAACAGCCTCATGAAGTGATGTGGTCCAAAGACGTTCCACAGTAAGCAACTTTTGAGCTTTGTGTTGGCTGAAACTACCAGCAGAGTTAGTCATGCATCATGGAAATCCCCTCAGACTGTTTGGGCTCACCTTGTTATGTACCCTGGAAGCACCCTGTAGTAGAAAAATTAAAAAAAAACAACCGACTGTTGCAGGTCAGCTGGAATCATATACAGTCATGTGAAGGAAACTAGGACTTGCTTCAATAATAAAACAATAAAATAAAACTTACAAGAAAACTTTTAAAACCTCCAAGATAGATTTAGAAAATGCAACTTCTGTCATCTAAAAACTATTACAAGTGGCCATCATCTCTGTCTGCTTTGGGCTAAAATTACAGAAATGTACATCTAATCAGACCCACATGACAAGAACACATGACCCACAAGTTTATCCTGTTCAAAACTTGGTTTAGTATCCTCGTTGTTGGAGTGAATGTGAACACCATTGTGGGGTAGAAGGAGCTGCTGTAGCCCTCTAGAAAGAAGCTAACTGCTTATGAGTCTGGTAGGGGATTTAAAGAGATCTCAAAGGAATTTCAAATCAGCTTTTCCACTTTATAGGAAATAGTCTACAAGAGGGGAGGCTTTAAAACAACTGTCACCATGTTCAGGTCCAGGCATTCACTCTGAAACCATTGATGCCACAGAAAAAAGTCTACAGAAACTCTAAATATTGGAGAGAATTCAGCGTAATGTTTATTTTTTATTTGTAATACACTTTTTATGCAATTGTGTATTCTTGCTTGCATAAAGTCACAGTCGAAAAGAAGAAGTATTAAATTAAGTATTAAGTATTCCACAAAAATAATTTCAGACCATTTTTTTGAGCATTTCTCTGGAGGTTAGGGTGTCCTAATTGTGTCACATGACTGTCTGAGGCCGTTGAAATCATTTCCTCTCTGCTAAATGCTGTTTACATCCAGTCGAGGTCTTCTTTGCGACCAATTAGAGAGGTTCAAACTTTGGGTGCTCATCTATACTTCATCTCTATTTAGCAAGAAATGCTTAGCTACATAAAAATATATTGCTACGCTCTTTATTGTGATAATGTTTCTTCATATTGCTTGAAGAGAACCGTTACCTGTTTATTCATAAAGACGTAGATGATTGGATTGTAAACAGCGGCTGTTTTGGAGAAGAAAGCCGGGATGGCAGCCGCCCTTGGGTCAAGCTCAATCGTGGGATAAGCTGTGACCAGTATGGAGAAGGCTGCGTAAGGGGTCCAACCCACCATGAACGCCACAATCATCACCACAACCATACGGGTCACCTGCCGCTCGGGCTTTCTGGCAGTTGCCAGACGACCATGAGATACCTGAAGGAAACAGAAACTATTAATGCATTGATGAATTATGTCAACAAAAGGGTTGTGTGCTTTTCTTTTTGCAGAAAAAGTCAGTTTCTACCCTTTCCTTGGTCATATAAAAAATATCAGCATTTATAAACAGGAACATTTGATGAACATATAAGGAAGAAATTGTAAAGATATACAAATACCCAGTTTGACTTATTTGCCCAAAATAATCAACATATTTTGGAGCCTATATACGATCGTCTTTTTGGAGGATCGATTGGTTCCTTTGGCATTTTCAGGTGATTCTCTACAGGATGTTGATTTCTCTTTGTTCTGAGTCTCTCATGGTCATAAAAGACAATGATTAGAGAACAAGGTTCCAGGGACACGTGACCAAAATGAGTCTCATGTAGTATACAGTCTCATAACTTTCTCCTGATCTGCATGGACCTTAATTGCGCACTAGCTTGTACTCAATTAATTTCTCAGTTTAATGAGACATGTAGCTTTGTGCTACACTGGAGATGGGATTACAAGCACCACTTCAGCCAAAGTTTTGAAAACGGGGAACATTTCTCGACTGAAGTGCTCAGAAGTCTGCAAGACTCTAACCGAGAGGAATTCCTGATCTTGCTTCGCTCCAGCTGGTTTTTCAGCTGTAAAAAAAATTATATATTTTGCAAAACTGCAATGGAAACACTTTTTTGCGTACTAGCCAAGTGATCAACAAGCAAATGTTACTACTGGAGGCAAAGACAAAGAGGACGACAGGAAGTCATACGAGGATAGAAGTGCAGCATGTTTTTTAACATTTAACTTATTGCATGAACAATCTGACTGACGTGTGATTTTGACAGAATTTATAAATTAAAGGAAATGCTGCAATTGCGAAATTGAATTTTTCAGCATTAGCAGTATATCGACTTTTGTAATAGAGACGTAGCTACTGAAGGTTTTTCCAATTGTAGTCTGTGATTGACTATGCACTTCACAACTGAATGTCATCTATCACTAATGCTGGAAATCATAAAAAAACATTAATTCTATGCAGCATCCTGCACACAGTGTCTTCCAACTCAGAACTGACCTTTCTGAGCTTCCTGAGGAGCTTCCCATAGCAGAAGAAAATCACTCCAAGTGGAAAAATGAAACAAGTGGCGAAGAAAGTGATGATATAACTGTGGTCTGTTATGTTGGTTGAATACCTATGAAGAGGAAGACAAAAAAAAAAAACATTAATAATCACTGTAAGCTATTTAGTAATTTACTGTTACAGTATTTCTTGATAAGGTAATGAGTGGATGCTTGGATCAGCTGCTACACTAATTGAGTGTCGCTTTTAGAACCAGAAGGCAAACAATCAATTCCCAGCTATGAGACGCTGTGAAATTCTGGAGCTTTTATGTGACTCAAGAGAAACATCACAGTTTGGCTCCTCATTTGAGCTTTAGTTAAATGGAAAATTTCACAGCTGAGACCAATCTCTGTGAACACTTAAGAGCCCTCAGGACAGCAATTTAGCCTAATTAAGTTGTTTCCATAAGAACACCTACGAATCTCTAATGAAACACCATTCAGATTAATTTCTGGGGATCCACCTGGCAGATAGAGCAGCATGACTCTGTGCCTCCATACGAACAGAAGAGTTGTAGTAAGACCCAGACCAGGAGATGTTGCTTCTACAATTTACCAATTAGATAAGTAGACTTTTAGGTGTCTGTTAAACTCAGTTTTACAGCAGTAGTGTGATGTAGGAGATGTATTTGAATGCACCATAAAATGCAGAGGTGTTCAAACTTTTTGCTACAAAAAATGTTAAATTCAAAGTACTTAAGGAGCCACAAAATTTAGCTGTCATTAAAATTTCAAAAACTGCTTCATTTTTTTGTGTGTGTGTTTAGCTGTTCAACAATAAATTAATCACACAATAATTTTTGAAAAACAAGCTAATTAGTCTGATTTTTCAAGAAAACTGATCAAAGGTGTATGTGGTTGGAGAAAAATACAAACTTCCTAATTTTTCAAATTGCATATTGCTCACTCTTGCTTTATTTCAGCAAATTTAATTAATGGATGAGCCTTTTAAACTAAATCAAAATATTATTAAAGATAAATATATGAATTTGTATCGTTTTAAACAGTCTTACATTAGTGAAACTTACACTCTAAAGGTTTTTTTTTTTTCTTAAACGTGTCCAAACCAAATTCAAGCCATTTTTTCTTTTTCTAACTCCGGTATATTTTCGACAACATTGTACATTCATCAATATGAACTGTCCCATTTAAATATAACTACCGGTAATCAATATGAATATAAAAAATATAGTAAAGTAAATACTATAGTAAATAGAGTAAAGTGTTTCTACAGCTGAAGGGCGATATATATACACATATGACGTTTTAATTAGTTTCATCTTTAGAAATATTTAACTCTTACTGTCATTAGCAACCCCTGAAACAAGCACTTTGGCTATTAGCTCCTTAGTCTAATTGAGTTCATTAGCATACCACCAGCTTATACTTCTCATTAAATAAATTTAAAAATGGTGCCTTCAATATTCACACCCATTGATCTTTTCTACCGTTTAACATGTTACAACAGATCTCAATGTACGTTTTTCAAGTTTTATGTGATAGATCAAGATGAAGCTGTCCCTGCTGCAGAAATCATCCCCACATCATGATGCTGCCACCTCTATGCTAACTGTTAGTTTGTCTCTCACATCTCTTTTGATTGAGAGTCTCATCTGTCAAGAACACCTTCTGTCACTTGTTTGATGTTTCCTCTGCTTTGGAAAACTCCAAACAGGATAGAAAATGTTTTTTTTTCTTGCCAGTCTTAAAGATCTGTGAGGAACACAAACTAGTTTTCTCCAAACCAAACTGTTTATCTCTGTAGCCCCTCCAGAGTTATGGTTGGCCTTTTAATCCATGGATACTGTTTATAACCAACCTCTAGTTTACTCTGCAACTTTACTCCCAGACCTGCTGTGTTCTTTGGTCTTAATGACGCTGTTTGTTCAGAGCTCAAGTTCTGAAATCAGCATTTTACTGAGAATAAATGACACCCAGGGGAGCCACCCTGCATTATCAGCTGAGTTTTGAAGTCAACTGGTTGCACTAGATTTTATTTAGAGGCAGACCAGCTTAGTCCTTGCTGTTAGCATCAAAGCCAGTTAGGCCTTTACTCTTCTTTGTTGTTTGTTTGCATAAGGGGAATAATCTTTTTTGAACTGTTCTAATCATATTTTTACCACAGATTTCAACTACAAACTGTTATTTTGACACATGTTCTAGTCTCGCACATGAATACGGCTGCAGGACAGATGTGTGATCTAATCATTTTCAGTGTCAAAATTTTTCACATTAATGAGGTATTTAAATTCACCAGACTGATGATGCTGCAGCACCTGGTCCACACACACACACACACACACACACACACACACACACACACACACACACACACACACACACACACACACACACACACACACACACCTCTGAAATTTCTGATCTGCTTTTAACCAAATGCTTCCTGTTGTACTTATATTTATTCTGTTACATTTATTTTAAAATTACTTGCAAGAGTACATTTACTGCACTGTAACGTTTGACTTGTTCTTGAGTTATATCATTTTATCATTTTGAAGTAGTGCTACTCTACTCACCTGTGGCATTATGCAACCAGATGCTCATGCATGTGTCTGGACTCACCAATGAGAGATCTACTAATTGTTCTGTGTGAACCGTTTGTTCTCCCACATTGTGGTTTCAGAAGAAAATCTCCTTTCTGGGCTTGAGGTCAAGACTCAGTTCTATATCTGTACGCCTTTGATCAAAACATCTAAATAGCATTATCCAGATGGCTCCCTGAGGGGCAGAGGGTTACAGTAGGCCTGCTTCTCAGCTCCCTTCATGAAGCACAATCAGATTGAAGGCCCTGGGCCGTGTGCAACATGTCTATTATCTTTATCTGTTTGTGTAGAAGGTGTGTGGATAAAAAGTAATTACCTGGTGGGTATTATTAGGCGGAAACCTACCGAAATTAGCTTAGTATATAAAAAAAAGTCCATAAAACTTAGCGCCTGTAAAAATTCTTCCAGTCTTCCAGATTTTGTCACAATACAACCACTGAGTTTAATGTATTATATTGAGATTTTATGACATACCACAATACAAAGAAAAATCATTCATAACTGCAGAAGAAAAATATAATCATAATGGGTTTTCAAAATGTTTGCAAAGCACCCCCTAAAAAAGCAAAGTGTTTTTATTTTTACCTTTTTTTAACCAGATGAGTTATGAAAAACGTTCTTACTTACAATACCAACCTGGTGAGGATTGAAAACAGCACCATGTATTCATCTTCATTTAGTCTTGTACAGGTAAATAAAGCTGCGTGACCAGCTGAAGGTTTACAAAACCGGCAGAGGCACCAGAATACTTGTAGCTGGAAATGTGGTGAAAAGCGGCTCCACACAGCAGCTGAATGCAAATACAAGCCACACTTTTCAGATTTCTACAAGTTAATAAGTGAGTGCACATAATCATATTTCAATCATATTTATTGATGCTCTTATAAGTGCGAATAAGTGGAGAAAATAGCAGAAACTAAGTTTTCCGATAACGCTGTAAGTTTTGTTTTATTATTTAACTTTAATGAAATTCTTATCACAGTAAGAATTTTTTCACGATAAACGATGCGATAAAAACCTGTCCCTAGGTATAAAATATGAAGCTGGGGGACGAAACCTGAAACTGCAAGTTACGCAACAGGTGTTGCTGAGAAACCAAAGAGGAGGTGAGTTGGTTGATTCCACCAAACTTGCTCAGCTGACTATGAAAAGTTGAGCAGTTCACACTTTCAATCTGCCTACATCCCCCAGAATGCTGTGCAGTTCTGGATCAGAAGTGAAATTATTGAACATTTATTGGCTGCGTTTTCTATTGATATTGATTTGTGATCAACATCAATAGGTCAATACTAGGTATTTATATAAAGCTGGTCATCTTTCAACATTAGCAACAAAATTAGAGCGTCTCACCAGTCGGGCTCGCAGGTGGTTCCGATCTTGCTCACAGTGTATCTGTTCCAGCCCAGGACAGGAGGGAAGGTCCAGATGAAGGAAAACGTCCATACGAACAGCAGACCCAGGATGGCGTGCTTGGCTTGCAATCTAATGTTCCCCAGTGGCCGACAGATCACAAAGAAGCGCTCAAAGGACAGGACGGCCAAGGACCACAGCGCCACGATCCCTGAGGAAATCAGCAACCACAAACACACCGGTAATTAATGTGTGTGATTCAGAAAAATGAGCTCACGGGGGGGTTTGCATCCCTTTTTGGTCTCTAACACATGGTTCTTTTTAAGCAGACATCCCAGAGGTCAACGTTGCTGCGATGTTTCTGGAAATACTTTAATGATCTGGGTTGGGTGTGTTCTGCTGCTTGCTAATGGGGCTAAAAAAGGCAGCCTTTAATTGTGGTAATAAGTCACTCTGAGAGACTGGAGTTAATTACTTATCCCTGCGTAGTCAGGTAGTCTTTGTATCTGCCTGATAGACTTACTGCAAAGGACAAAGGAGGCAGGCGGAAACTGGCTGTTTAATTACCGCCTTCTTTCTAACAAGAGCATCTGGCATAAAGGTTCAAATGTGAAATTAGTGCCATCAACATCCATAGCTGTTTTTTATACGTCTTCAGGAAGTTTCCGACTGACCATTCCAAGTGTTGTTCGAACAAACCATTCAATCTGGTCGTAGTTTTACTTTATCACAGCACTACAGATTCACACACACTGCAGAAAAGTAGGAAATGTTTAATTAAAGCATTGATTTGATTTTAATCTGGTGTAATATCCTGATGAGGAAGTCCTTCCACCTCCAGGGAGACCTTTCTAAAGGGGAATCAAAAGAAATGTGTTTTTCTCCTCAAAGTGAAAGAAAGAACAGACTTCTACGAACTATTCAGGTATTCCTGGTTGCATTTATTCTCACCAGATTCCCGTCATGCTGCGTTCGGAGCTCCCTATGTGCTTTAGTAAAGGAAGGCAAAACCCAGTGAATTAGTTAACCTGGTGTTCACTGGGATGGTAATCTACGATATGCAGCACAGTGTGTGAGAAAACTCCAGTAGGACTCTGCAGATGATGCATAACTTTGGCTCACCTTTGGTGAATCTGTTTTTATAGTGTGCAGCACCAAAGCAAACACTTTGCAGGTTCAAAAAAGTTAAAAATTAAGGCAGGTATCTTCTTATTCAGCATTTTGAATGCTGTCTCTTTACCCCTGAACAATATATGGAAAATTAACTTGTGAGCTTCACAATATTTAGCTTAACCTGCAAGACTCGGGTGTCAAATATTAGTCCAAAATTGCTATTTCAACAAAAAATGTTAGAAATACTGCCTATTTTATTAGAGGATTTTATTTTAATTTTTTCTGTTTCTTTTGGCATTTTCCTGAGAATGTGAATCTAGCAAGATACTTAGCTGGTACAAGGGGAAACACTCCTTTGGCTCACCTTTTACTTCTTCATTTTGCTTCCGATAATTGTTTGTCTTGTCTAACTTTTTGACAAAATGACTTTCTTTTTCACACGATTAAACTCCAGATTTTATAGATTGCATGTAAATGCTACAATGATACACCTTGAATATAACTTACTAGTTACTTACTATTCAGAAAATGTCATTGTTTGGTACATTTTCCATGATAAACAAATCATTCAGCTAAAAACTCAGAAGATTTTCTTCTGAATCATCTGAAAACTTATAACTTCTCCTGATTTATTTATTTATTTTCAACTAAGAACTTTTATAATTTTTATAAAACGTAAATGAACAGCAGGTAATTTAACTTTTCAGAGTTTATTAACAAGGAGTAAATGCTGTGATATAGAAATGAGAATAGTCACAGAATTATTTCCTTTTTGGAGTTTCTGTTCAATCAAACAACCTGGAGTATAGTTTATGTTTATCATTTATTAGTGGTAATGCTACGAACTAGAACTGGTCTAAAATGACCTTCAGGAACACTGAGAGTCATTATTAGCCTGCTTTGACCTGATTGGTGCGTCCTTTCTACATCAGATGTGAGTCAGTTTAGACTTTCAAATTTTACACGATAACCTTTTCCGTGCATGACTGCTCAAAGAAACTGAGTGAAATTGCTGCACACACAGCAAAATGTCACAGTTATTGTGACATTTTTCACAGATATCTACGTCTTGGATTCTTTTCCGAGAAGTTCCTGTTCATGAGCAGGTGATAAACGCCAGTTTTAAAGGAATTCTGGGAATCTGTGGAGTAATTAATGCCATGACACTCACCTGTAAAGCGTGTGATCTGAAAGAAAGCTGTGATTCTGATGCAGAGAGGTGTGAAAATAGATTTATCCATCCCTTTACTTATAGTAGCCAAAAACTGCACCCATTTTCAAAAAGCAGAAACTCTTTTATGTGTTTTGCAGAGAAATTTTACCATAAATCTCCCATTTTTGTTACAATCCACAGCATGTTACTGTATTATTTTATCTCTGCATCATAGAGACAGCAGAGTCAGCAGTTTTACTTTGCTAATAACTGAAAAATGAACTTTTATTTTCCTCATTGAGAACTCACACCCTTTTTGTTCTGGTCATTTCTGGATATGTTAAAGTTAGCTCCAATGTATGTGGCTGGATTCTGACAGTGGAAAATATGTAGTCCCTAAGTTACCCTAAAATACTACATATTTCATATCAACATGCATTTTTTCACTGCTTTTATTATTCAACTTTAACTCCACTTCTATTACCAATCCTAATCATTTGTTTGCATGCACAAAATAAACTTAGCAATCTGTTCTCTCTTAAACTATATCCACCAACCACAAAATGTAACTCCATTGTTTTTATATGTTACATCACAGAGATGCACCAATCAATCTGCCAGGGATTGGAAATAACTTCTTTTCGAATGATTGACTGATTGGGTTGAGCAGCATAAAAAGATCAAATTTAAATATTTGTTAAACCAATCAAACATAAGGGCTTCCACAATTTTCTAAACACATGAATGCATGCTTGATGCAATTGTTCAGTGAATTAAATCAGATACTAGGATGTTTGAATCGCAAATGTGATAATGTTGTCATTTATTCATTTTCTGATCGATTCAGAGCTACTTCTAATGTGTTATGTGTTATAATCTATGAAGATAAAAATTTGCAAGGAAAATTGAGAATCAATATAAACCAGAAAAATTGTGATTGGCGCATCAGCAGAGAATATTTTTGATTTCACTAAATGTTTTGGGTTTTTTTTTTTCTAAGAGTATTCCTGCTCAAGCAAGCTAATAAGACTTTCTGAGCTCTAAATTATTCTGACATATTTTACAGATATTCATTCCTCTTTGTAAGAGTACGTGGTAAAAGTCAGCTTCAGTGGGAATTTTGCTGAAGTTATCAAACTCATCATGTTCAGATTCTGATGCCTACGGCTGCAGAGTTTGCAATTTATCCGTCCACAGAGTGCAAAAAGTACAGAACAAAAGTCTCAACCTACCAAAGAAAGTGACGGCAAAGCCCTCCAAGACACAAGCCCACCTCCCCAGGAAGAAGTAGCCCCGGGCGTTTGTCAGGAAACTTATCAGTCCGCCGGTGAGGGACACCAGGAAGTCCGCGATGGCCAGATTGACTATGATGTAGTTCAGGGGCTGTCTGAGCTGTTTGAACTTGAAAGTGACAAACATGACCAGGAAATTTTCGGTCAAGGACAACGAGGTGACCACGAACATGACAACGGCCAGGACGGTGAAGTTCCACGGCGCGATGTTCTTGATGGGTCCGCTGAACGGGTCGTCGGTGGTGGGGATCTCCGCTGCCACGGTGGAGGAGACCGCGTTCACTGACAGGCTCAGGGTGTCCATTGTCCACGCCCGAGGATGTGACGCCTTAAAGGGTAGAAAATCCCGCTTGTTCTTCTTTCCCCATGTTGAAAAACTTCCCTCCGGAGTCACTCCTGGAGACCGTGGCTGCGCCGCGCGTCCTGTGCGCTCCGGCGCTGCGCTTCCACAAACTTCTGCGGAAATCCGGACATCGCCAAAAGCGCCGCAGACCGACAAATCCGCTTGACTTAATCAAACAGTGGCGACTGTAAAAGAGGGGCTCTGGAGCAGAGGATGTGAGGTGCGCTCAAAGGCGATGATGGTGCGCAAAGAAGCGATCGGGGAGGCATCTTGGAGGGTCTTATATAGAGGCAGCCCCTGCATCACTGCAGCTGCTTCCCGCTCATCCGCTCCTCTTACCACCGCTGCTGGTTCAATCCTGCATCCCAGCTTGATCAAGTCCGGTGTTTCCCCCACGCAAATTAAATGACCGAGTCTTTCACTCAAAAGAAGTGACACAAAAATATCTATTTAACATGAGAATAAACTTGTTTTCAATGCACTTTATTTATATAAAGCCAACAAATTTCTCAAGGCACTTTACAAAAGGATTCTAATTGGTTTGTTCAGTTAATTAAACCCAGCAGGTTGCAGCAAGTCAATGAGTCAATTACAGAGAACAAATTAAGAATTTAAATTCAGAAATATTTTTATTGACCCCAAAGAGAAATTATTGTAATCAGAAGTGGTAAAAGCATTTTTCCCCCTCATAGAATCACCACTAGTTTTATTTTTTAGTGGAAAAAGAATTACAGAGCTTACATAAAACTATTATTTAACATATACTAAGTATTCTGATTTTGACAAACAAAGCTAAATCTAATCGCATTGTAGATAATTCCTTCAAATAAAAATGGTAATTTATTACAAGTTTTGAATTCACACTGCTGTCTGAATCAAGTTTCAACATTTTTGGATTGAGGGTGATTTATCAGTTTTGCATGATGGAGTCATTGCACCATTTCTTTTCATTTCCACTGTGAAATCTCAACTGGATTTACAGTTTGGTTTCTAATGATCTCTTATCTGTCTCTGGATAAATCATGTGAGCAGGAGAGCAATATTCCTCAGCCTGTGGTTCGTCTTGTTTCTTATTCATAAATGTGAACAAATTAAATGAGCCTTTACAGTATTTATGCTAAAATATTAGACACTTTTCAATTCAAAACAAGCTGGTGCTGGTGTTGTTAATCACATTGACTGAACTATTTATCCTTGTGAGGATGAATAGAAACTTAATCAAAAAAAGGATGAATAGAAATAGAAACTTAAAATAGAAACTTAAACTTTAAGTTTTATTATAATGACTGAAGGCTGGGCATCTGCCTTCTGCTCACATTCTTTTTTTTGTTTTTAATTGCCCACCTACGTTTTCTGTTTTAGCTGCATGTTCCTAAGTTTTTATTGTTTTTTTGGTGAGCAATTTATTATTCATGGGTAATTAGGCACTTCTGTGTACTAATTGCTCACAGTGGACATCTAGTATTAATCAAAATTAGGTCCATTTGTTCCCCTCTCATACTGTAGATCATGGTGGACTTGATCATAGTGGACTTGAGCCTCTTGTTCCTCAACAACCTTAGCAATGTCCTTTCAGTTAGCTGTGATTGTTAGATCCTTCTTCCAGGCCTTGTAAGGTTGTGATGCATCTCAATGACAGATGTTTGAATGCGATTGTTTAAATTGGCGTAGAAATGGTTAAAAAAAAAAACTTTCCCAACTTCTGTAAATCCATAACTTTGCTTCTAAAATCTCAACTGAGTCCCTTGGATTTTCTAAATTTTCTAAGTGTTGGTCAGTCCATTGTTTCACTCAGTTGTGGTTACTGTTTTGAAATTAACATGCCTTTGCTTTGCCAAATCAACAGGTACTCCTGAATTTGAGCTCCTTACTAAATGGGCTCTTTTAGAGTTTTTGGTCACTTTAAATCCAAATAAACTGCTGGCGGCCCTCAACTCAGTGCTTCCACTCGCAAGTGAAAATCACTGCAAACTGATGCACAGTTATATAACTGTGTAAAGCTGAGTGTGTAGTAAATATAACTGTGCATCTTTAGTTGCTATGTGATGTCCAGAACATGCTGATTTCTGACATTATATTCTGGATGTTTTTGAAACGGCTCATTTTCCAAACACCAAAAAACAAAGAACTTATAGTTTTAAAAAAACAGCTGTTTTTTTTAAGAGCTTGGGCTGTTAAGACACAAATTAAAGTACAAAAATTTACAAAATCTAAATTTTTTTATATGTCCCCTTTAATGAACACTTCTTAAAAATGTAAAAAGTACTGCATCCAGTTTATGTTTTTGTTGCATTCTCCAAATCTCTATCAGATTTTTCAAAGCTGTTTGTTTTACCTTTTATCTGCAGTTGAAGAAATAAAATTCCTGACATTGAGTTCAGTGCTTAATAGAGGAGCAAACTTTAGGATCATTTCTACACAGTGACTTACTGAAAAGTCTTTGAAGTCTTAAGACTCAAAATTAGCTCCACATCTGTTTCAGAAATCCTACAAACATGACATTTCTTCTGTGGTTTCCACATTAAGATGAAGAATGTCAAGGTCAGGTCTGCACAGAACCTTTCGCCAAAGGTGAATGTCCATCCAGCCATCTCCATCTCTGCCCAGTCTTTGATCTAGTTCCGTCTCGTGGAAGCCAGCTTGTCACACCTCAGTGACCATCACATAAATGAGGATTTATTGCCCATTCTGTCTGTCAAGACCTCCGTATGAGAGCTTTTGTTTGGCAGCTGTTTTAAAGCACCGCTGCCAAGTTCAACCTTGTGCTTTTCGCAAAGAGTCAAAAAGAGCTGCTCCAATTAGTCAAACTTTCACTAAAATACTTTCCATGACTTTCTGTAAAACTTCCAAGATGCCTTTTGAGGCACAGCTGATTGGATTACAGCTTGCAGTGGACTACAGTGTTCACATCTCTTCATACCTTCTGTACTTGTTTTTCAGTTCATCATTTGGACAGCTCTTCTTTGAAACTGTGTTTGGGATTCATTTATGGATGAATGTCTGAACCAGCATTTCAGACATTCATCTGTTTGGCCAAATGTTTGACCAAACAGCAGCAAATCTACAACAAAATGCCTGAAAAGTGAAAAGAATCAAAGCATCATTGCAAAGAAAAAACCAGCTTGTGGTGTTCTGGCCCTCGGATGCATTTAGTCAGTTTTTTAGGTTCTTTTCATGCCTGATAGTCCAGTTGATTCAGATTGATTGGGGACCAAAATTACAACAATTGTTACATTTTCACCTGGTGTGCTTCGCTTTCACACCACACTTTCAAATGAATCAAAAATTCTGTTCCCCTTCTCTCCTGTGGTGTTGCTGCTCTAAGAAACACCAGAGGAAACGTTTTGTTTACAAAAATATTGGAAAAAAAGGTTCAATATACCTTAGCAGCAATGCGAGTCTGATAAAGCTACATAGAAAGGGACGAGCTAAAGTTGTTGCTGCTGAAGTTGTGTTTTCAAGCTTGAATGAAAATAGATGTTTCCTGACATCTAAACAAATATGTATTTTCTGTCTTTGGAAACTACAAGTTGATTCACGCCTTAACCAGAACAGTAATAATTTATATGCTTGTTTTCTTGGTGGTCTCCACTTAGCATGCTCCAACTCACCTACAGAGTAAAGAAACAGGCTCTGGGTTTTTTGCATCAGTCTGAGCAAATCTGTGATTACAGTTACATAGATGGTGTTATTCAGATTTCTCTCACGGTGCTGAGTGCCTACCAAAAATGAAATAAGAAATAAAAATTGATTTTGTGTTCAGTAAGTTTAAAGCTGCGCTGTATGCGATAACCATCAAAAAAAAACACTCTGGGCCTCAAAAGTAACTCAATGTTCTACATTTTTGAATCAACTATAGATGTGAGCTAAAGTTTCACAAGACAAATGCTAATAATAATGCTAATAATGAGAATTATGCACATCCTTTTGTAAACACACACCTAAAAATAAAAAAGGATACTTGTGCCCATTTATGCTAATGCATCTAATTAGAGGTTTTAAGAAGTTAGAATGAAAAATATCTGTTTTTCCATGTTGTTGCCATCTGGCTTCATGTGTTCACAAGAAAAATCATCCCATCAGTGCTTCAGATGTCAAATGTTGATGAGGAAATGTGTATGTTTATGATTGCTTGGTTTGTATCTTTCCATATGAATCATCTTTTCTAATTAATAAGACAGAAAGTGAGTATTTCTTGGAAATACTTTCAAAATTGTTTTCAAATATCAGCAACATTATGTCCATTTTCTTTTGCTTTTCTTTTTATTTGGTAAAAAAACACCTTTTATGAAGTGCATACCTTCTGAGTCAATGAACAAATAAACTATCCTTTACTACACACTCAGCTTTACACAAACACATGCACTACTGAATAGCTCAAAACCAGAAGAGACTCTAGTAACAGAAATGTTTAAATCTTACTACAGATTCGTACACAAACTCTGTTAATCACGTGAAACAAAATATACTGAAGTTTGTGTTTGTAAGTGAAGTGCAATAATTATGCATTTTCATGCTAATGTCATATTTACATAGTTGAACTTACTCAAGCAAGCAAATGAGCAAAACGAGGCATTATGTTGCAACTGATGTCACAATGTTATCATCATCGAAAGATTTTCTAAGTTTATGCAACCCTGAAGTGGCTCTGGACTCATTTTGATGTGGATGTTGTACTTTAAGCTTTGCTTTGATGACATTTCCTCATTCAATTTCTAAGGCTAAAGAAGAATAACATTGAGGTTAATGGAGTGAGGTAATTTGTCAGACCTGAATCCTGCAAAAAAGAAGCTGAAGCTCTAAGTTGCCAAACAATCACCAAGACATGAGGGGATGTGAAAGTTTTCTGCAAATAGAAGCGAAAACCTGGTGCCCAGCTACAAGTACTTTAGGATTTTCTAACAGATTCTGGGTCATATATTACTTGATATCAAATACAAATTGCACCCAAGAGCATCTCCAGTGCCAGGGTGACCCAAAAAAAGGAGTGAGCTTTTGTTGCAGCAGCACATTTAAATGCAGGATGTATCTGTCAAACTGTCAAATGAAAGACTTGGCTTTACTTTTACTAATGAAGTGCAGGAGAAAGAGCTGAGCAGCAGCTGAAGGGCTGTGTGTATATTATATCTTCAGGCTGAGATATTAATT